CAGATTGTTCTCCAAAATGGTTGGATCAATTCACAATTCCACCAACAGTGAATTAGCGTCCCAATTTTTCCACATCCCCTCCAACTTTTGTCTCTTTCCCCTTCAATCATTTTAGCCAATCTAGTAGGTGAAAAATATCTCAAGCTTGTTTTAATTTGCAATTCTCTAATCGATAATGATTTATAGCATTTTTTCATGTGACTATAAATTGTTTTGATTTCTTCATCAGAAAACTGCCTGTTCATATCTTTTATTCATTATCACTTGGGGAATGACTCATACTTTTATAGATTTTACAGAGTTCTTTATGTATTTGTGATGAGACCTTTATCTGAAAAAATGTCTCTAAAAATTTCTCCTAATTTTTTGTTTTCCTTCTGATGTTGGGTACATTTATTTTATTTGTATGAAACTTTTAATTTCATGGAATCAAAATTATCCATTTTACACCTCACTGTTTCCTGTCTCTTATTTATTTATAAATTGTTCACCCATCCATAAGTCTTACAAGTAATATGTTTCATGTTCTGCAAATTTTCTTAAAATATCTCTCTTGATATCTAGGTCATATATCCATTTTGACCTTATCTTGGCAAATGATGTAAAATATTCATTTATGCCCAGTTTCTGCCATGCTGTTTTCCAGTCTTCCCAACAATTTTTGTCAAATAATGAATTCTTATCCCAAAGTCTTTACACTTGTCAAATACAAAGCTACTATATCTACTTGTTGCGATGAATTGTATGTCTATTCTGTTCTATTGATCTTTTCATTTCTTGGGCAGTACCAGATAGTTTTGATAACTATTGCCTTGTAATATAGTTTAAGATCTGGTACTGCTAATCCTCCTTTGTTAACATGTTTGTCATCAGTTTCTTTGATAGTCTTAACTTTTTGTTCTCCCAAATGAATTTTGTTTTTATTTTTTTCTAATTCAGTAAAATAATTTTTTGATAATTTAATTGGGATGGCATTGAATATATGAACTACTTTAGGTAAAACTGTCATTTTATTATATTGGCCATGGCTACATATGAGCAATTAATATTTCTCCAATTATTTAAATCTGATTTTATTTGTATAATAATGTTTTTATAATTTTGTTTTTATAGTTCCTGGGTTTCTTTTGGCAGTTTATTTCCAGGTATTTTATCTAGTAATAGTAATTATAACTTTGGATTTGAATGGAATGAACTCCATAAAAAGGAAACAGCAGAATGGATTAAAAATAAAAATGCAGCAATAAGCTGTTCACAAGAAACACATTTAAGAATGAGAGATATACACAGAATTAAAATGGAGGGTTAGGTTGAATTTATTATGCTTCAGCTGATGCAAAAAAAGGCAACGGAAGAAATTATGATCTCAGACAAATTTATGGCTAAAATAGTTTTAATTAAAAGTGATGAATAGGGTAACTACATTTTGATAAAAGATACCAGAGACAATGAAGCATTACCAATATTGAACCAATATGCAACAAATACTATAGCATCTAAATTTTTAAAAGTTAAATGAATTGCAAATAGAGATAGATAATAGCACTATTAATAGTGAGGGACTTAAATATTCTCTCTCTTAGAACTAGATAAATTTAATTTAAAAAAAGCAATCAAGGAAGTGAATAGAATTTTAGATAAGCTAGATATGATAGATATCTGGAGAAAACTGAATGGAAATAGAAAGGAATATACCTTTTTCTCAGCAGTTCATGGTACCTTTACAAAGATTGACCATATATTAGAACATAAAAATTTTATAGTTAAAAGTAGAAAAGGAGAAAGATTAAAAGTATGCCTTTTAGATCACAATGTAATAAAAATTATCTTTAATAATGCAATGCAGAAACATAGATTAAAAACTAATTGGAGAATAACAACCTAATATTAAATAATGAGTGGATCAAAGAACAAACCATAAAAAGAATCAATAATTTCAGTAATGTGAATGACAATAATCAGACAACACACTAAAACAAAAAAAAAAAGCAAAAGTAGTGATCACAAGAAATTTTATATACCTAAATGCTTACAGCAATAAAATGGTGAAAGAACAGATTAATGAATTGGATATGCCATTAAAAAAAAAACTAGAAAAAGAGCAAACTAAAAGTTCCCAATTAAACACTAAATTGAAAATCCTAAAAATTAATGGTTAGATTAATAAAACTGAATGTAAAAACCCGTTGAATTAATAAATAAAAGTAGGAGTTGGTTTTATGAAAGAAAAACACATAAAATAGATAAACCATTAATCAATTTGATTTTTATTAAAAAGAGAGAAAACCAAATCATTATTATTAAAAATGCAAAGGTTGAAGATACCACAAAGATGAAATTAAAATAATTATAAGGAGTTATTTTGCCTAATTATGTGCCAACATATTTAACAATTTAAGTGAAATGGAATAATATTTACAAAATATAAATTGCCTAGATTAGCTGAAGAAATAGAGTATCTAAATAGAAGTATTTTAGAAAAAAAAAATTGAACAAGCCATAAATGAGCATTTTAAGAAAAAAGCACCAAGACCAGACAGATTTAAAGGTTAATTCTATCAAACATTAAAAGAGAAACTAATTCCAATATTAAATAAATTATTTGAAATAGTAGGCAAAGAAGGGATCCTACCCAAATGCCTTTATTGAAACAAATATGTTAATGTTACCAAAACAAGGAAGAGTAAATGTAGAGAAAATTATGGACCTATTTCATTAATGAATATGGCTGTAAAACCCCTAAATGAAATACGAGCTAAAATATTACAATATATTACAAAGAATATATGTTATGACCAATTGGGGTTTATGCCAGGAATGAAGGGATAGTATTTAATAAAGAAAATTATTAAGACTATTTATTTTATCAATAATAAAAGATTAAAAATCATATGATTGTATCAATAGATGCAGAACAGGGTTTCATAAAGTACAGCATTTATTTCTATAAAAAACACTTGAAAGTAAAGGTATAAATGGATTTTTCCTGAAATTGATAAAAAAAAAAAAGCATTTCTCTAAAATCATTAGCAAGCATTATTTCCAATGGGGATAAGCCAGAAGCCTTCCCAGTAAGATCAGATGTGAGACAAGAACGTCCACTGATACCATTATTCAATATTATATCAGAAATCCTAGCAATAGCAATAAAAGAAAAAAGAAATAGAAGGAATCAGAATAGGGAATGAGATAATAAAGCATCCCTTTTTGCAGATGATACTATGATGTACTTGGAAAATCCCAAAGACTCAAAAAGTTAATTGAAACAATTAATGATTTTAGTTAGCAAAGTGGCAGGATATAAAGTGAATCCACACAAATCATCAACATTCCTGTAGCTCACGATCAAAACTGTGCCAGAAGAGATAGTAAGAGACACCTCATTTAAAATAACTCTAGGCAGGACAAAATACCACCCCTTATTTTATAAGCAAGGCAAGTAAGGTTGGGGCCCCGTTGGGATTTGCTCAACATGACATGATAGAAGCAGGGCCTGAATCTAAATCTTCTGACATCCAATGGAGGATTCCCAGGATTCTGCTTCTCTGTGGCTTACAGGACTTCTCTGACTTCTATCCTATCCAAAGTGATTAAGTGAAGTCTGAAAGGCTTTTATGTCTGGGCAGGTTTCCTTCAGGGTCTCAGCAAAGCACTTTCCAAAGTCTCCCTCCCTTCCCCACCAAGGAGACCAACAGGTGCTGGTGATTAGGGCCCTGGGCCTGAAGGAAAGCCACTGCTGGGGGAGGAAGAGCAAGACTGAAAAGTGTGGAGCAAAACCTCAGGCCAAGCCAGGCCAGGACCCAGAGCTTTTCATGGAGATGCCACATACAGGGCACTCAGGAAGATGGGACCTGGATGGAGGTTTCAGCTAGAAAGCTCTGCCAGGGTTCCAGGAGGCCCAGGACCAGCAGTGTCAATGAGATGAGTGTCTGATGAAATCTGCATCCCAGGAGCTCTGCCTTCTAATCCCAGCACTGACCATTCCCCCATGCTCTGATGGGCAGACATCTGAGGGTGCTGGTGTCCACCCAAGACCCGCCCTCTTGACCTGTGTGTGAGTGAGGTTGTCAGAACAGATGTCATCCACAGATGAAAGGGTCTTATCTCTTCTGATCCAGACCCACCCAAGAAAATAAGAAAGTTAGAATGTGTCGTTAAGGGCACTGCTGTTTCTACCACCCTCTGACAAAGGGGGGAAAAAACCAGCTTTTTTGTGGACTCTGTACCAAACAGCTTCAGGGAGATTCTCCCCAGTGACACATACAACCAAAGGGAAAACAAAGACAGAAACAGAGTTTTAGAACTGGAAAATGTCCCAGAGATCATTGAGTTCAATCTTCTTATTTTACTGAAGAAACAGAGACACAGAGAGGTCTAATGATTTGTCCAAAGTCGCACCACTAGTCCCTAGCAGAGCTAATATTTGAGCTCAAATCCTTTCCTTCCAGGCCTAGTAACCCAGGATGCCATCACTACAGTGCTACCCTGGAAGCTCCCCACATTCCCATAATCACGCTCCTCCTCCCCCACTGACCTGCACTGCTCTGTCCCACTGAGGTCTCCCACAGCTCTCTGGCCCAGCCTCCTTCTAAAACACTCAGCTGCACAGCCACAGAATGAGGGCAAGTCCAACACCAGCCCAGACGCCCGGTCTTTGTTATCTATGGGCAGCCTCAGTGGTGGGGCAGAGGCTGGTGCCTCCATGGGGCCAGTGACAGCAGCTGTTGCTTCCTGCCTCCACCCCAAGCTTTCAGCCCCCAATCAGCTGCCCTGCCTCCCTGAATATACAAGGTAGTGAAGGGGGAGAATGTCTTGTCTCCATCTCACAGATATGTCATAGAATGGAAAGTGATTTCACCAAAGGGGGCTAAAAGCAGAGCAGCCCCTGAGCAGGAACACATTGAGAGCTTCCTGATCCTGGGCTGCCCTGACCCCTACTCTGAAGCCCATACTAACTCCTCCACCCCAGTGTTCTCTGATTCTCTGCTCTTTGTCCCTAGTTCTGCACACAGGCACATTCACAGTATCTGGCCCTCTGGTCCAGCCCATCCGGGCCTGGGTGAGGGAAGATGTCCAGCTCTCCTGTCACCTCTCCCCTAAGATGGATGCTCGGGGCATGACTGTGAAGTGGGTCAGAGGCCCACTGGTTGTGCACTTGTACCGCATGGGCCAGGAGATGGAGGAAGTCCAGGCCCCTGCATTCCAAGGGAGGACAAAGATGCTGAGAGAGGACATGGCTGAGGGGAAGGTGACTGTGATCATCCATCAGGTCAAGCTCTCTGACACTGGCCAGTACACGTGTTATTTCCAGACAGGCACCATTTACAACGAAACCAGCTTTGACCTTCATGTAGCAGGTAGGTCCTACCTGGGTCACAGATTTTCTCTAGAGCTGGAAGGGACCTTCAGACATTGGCCCAGATCTCTAGAGTGTGTAAGGTACTTTCCATACATTGTTTCCCTGGAGTCTCACAACTACCTTCTGGGTTAGTATTTCTGTCACAGGGACTTCCCCGGCCCCCACTGACTGAAGTCTGGGTCTGATATCTTTCAGCCCCTCGGGGTCTGCTGATATCTTTAATGGGGTTTGGGGCATCCAGCCTCTCTGTCGTTGGCTGAAGCCCCCTCAGTGATGTTCCCCCAATTTTAGATGCTCTTCTGTGCCCTTATTCAATGTAACCACTAAATAGTCAGAACTTGGCAGGACTCTACTATGTAGGAACTGGGCTAAGCTATGAACTTGAACTCTCTTACCCCATAATCTGCAGAGACTGAGGTGGCCTGTGTGGGGAGGACAATGTCTTTGGGTATCAGGGAAAGTGTCATTTGTACATTTGTTCTCATGACACTGTACAATTAAATATTATTGTATAAAAGCTATTCTCACTAATTTACAGTGTGTGTTGTCCTCCCCACACAGGCCACCTCTGTTTCTGCAGATTGTGGGGTGAAGGGAGGTCAGATTCATAGCTTAGCCAAGTTCCTACATAGTAGAGTCCCAGCAAGTTCCAAGTCCAAAGCCCTCTTGAACTCAAGTCCCAGGCATGCTGTCTTCTCACAGCTTCCTTTCTCGGCTGGCAGCAACATTGGGCTTCATTCTTCCCTCCAAGGTCTCCATGGCTTGGGGGGTGGGTGGGGTGGGGGATCCCCAACCATTCCTAGAAGTGAAAAGGGACCAACAAATAGCTCCTACCCACACCCTAAGCCTGTTTCTGGAGAGACACAGGGCCTGGATGGGGGAGGGAAAGAACGTTCTTCCTTACCCAGCTCAGTTCATGGTACTCGTGCCCTGTGGGTGAATAGGACATTCATGTCCCCTGGACACAGCTGAAGGGAAAGAGAGGGAGAGAGACATGAAGACAGAGACAGAGATGGATAGAGACAGAAAGGCTGAGATAGAAATATAGAGACAGAGAGAGGATGACAGAGACAGACAGAGACAGAGACAAAGAATGAATCCTAGTCTGGTGCTTGCCAAGGCACAGCCTGTTCCAGCTGGTAGAATGTGGCTAGTCCCATCCAAGTGGTAAGGAAACACAGAATGACTTCTCCCTGACTCAGGCCCCTGGAATCTCCCACATGGGTCTCACCATGTTAGGTCAGCAGGTCAAGCACAAAGCAAAGCCCCCTTCCCCTTCTCTCTCCATTTCAAACATTTGTGTCTTTACCCCATAGGCAGGGATGCATTTGGAACCCAGTTCTTGTCCCCAGTTCAGAACAATCCTCTCTGATCTCTGGGCAGCCATGAGGACATCCTTTCATCTGCTTCCCCAGGACCCTACAGGAAGGAACCTCAGAGCAGCCAGTGGTGCAGGGTCTTACACAATCCCACAGACTCAGAAGACCACCCCAATCATCCCTAAATATAAAGTGCTGCAGATTCAACAAACCCAGGAACATGTTACCATGATTACAAACCATCATTGCCTGTTTAGCCTCAGCCTTTCAGGGCCTTTCTCAACCCATTTTCTCTCAAGCAAAAGAAAGAGCAAAGACAAAGAAAGCTGGATGCCCCTCTTTGATGGAAGCCCAGGTCCCTCTGAGCTTTCTGAACCACAGGGAGCTCTCCCCACAGGGACATCATTTGGGCCTGGGGTTTCCCACTGACAGGTTGGGGGGACCTGCTCTCTGGCCTGACTCAGAGAACTGGGCTAAAAGGCCTGTACTGACATCCAAGGACCATGTACTGAGGAGGGTATGGAGTGCCTAAGAACATCTCTCAAGTCTTCTGCCCGCAAATCTTCACTAAATGTCTCCTGTGTGCCCAGCCCAGCACTGCTGGGAAGACAAAAGAAGGCCCCAGGAATTTTGCTCCTAAGGAATTTATAGTCTATGGAAGAATGAGGGGAGAGGCACAAGATAATATACAAATGTGACAGCTAGGTGGTACAGCAGATAGAACACTGGCCCTTGAGTAGGGAGGACCTGAGTTCAAATATGACCTGTGGGACCTTGGGCTTATCAGTTAACTCCAATTGCCAAAAAAAAGATATATATTGAACAAAATATTTTATAATGAGCTTCCCAATAATTATTCAGACCATAATTAATTCAGTTTAAAGACCTGGAAGCAGGAAAACCTGAATTCTCATCCAGACTCAGACACTTATTAGTTATGTGACCTGGGGCAAGTCATTTAACCTCTACCTCAGTTTCATCATCTGTAAAATTAAGAGCTTTTATTCCCAGGGTTGGTATGAGGATCAAATGAAATATTAATAAAGTGTATTGCACATCTAAATCACCATCAACTGATGTTGTTCTCTTGTTTCAGTCCTGTCCAACTCTCTGTGACTGCATTTGGGGTTTTCTTGGCAGGAATACTGTGAGTAGTTTGCCAATTTCTTCTCCAGCTCATTTGACAGATGAGGAAGCTGAGGCAAAAAGGTTAATTGACTTGTCCAGGCTCACATAGCTAGGAAATGTCTGAGGCAGAATTTGAACTCAGGTTTTCCAGCCTCCAGACCTAGTGCTCTATCCACTGAGCCATCTAGCTATCCAAAAGGCACTCTACAAATGTGAGGTGTTATTATTTTTGTTGCTATTGTTATTTAGTAACCACTTACTGTTTCCATGGCCCTGTGCTTAGTGCTGAGGGAGATATAATGTTTACATTGAACCAGGACCCCACCCTTAAGGAACTTCGTCTATAATAAGGAGGTAAGGTGCACAAATGAGTATAATAATCAATAATATATGCTAAGGGGATTAGCAAGGTGCAAAATTAAATGATATTCAATTAAATTCAGCAAACATTAAGCACCTACTTTATATGACACTCTGTCCTAGACAATATTTAACAGTGAGGCTTGTTGCAGAGGAGGGGACAGGAAAGGCTTTCTGTGGGCTATAGAGGACGGGGAGCAGGTAAACAGAAAGAGAAAGAAGGAAGGCATCGCACTAACCAGAAACAGAATCATCTTCATCATCATCATTATCATCATCATCATCTTCATCTCTAGCATTTCTAGAAAGATTAAATGTTGACAAAGCGCTTTATAAATAAGCAATCAATAGCATTTATTAAGTACCTACTATGTGCCAGGCACAGTTCTAAGCACTAGGGATACCAAAGAGTTTGTGAAAGACTCCCTGCTTACAATCTAACGAGGGAGAGAACATGCTAACAGATATACACAAAGCACAGTATGTACAGGACAAATACGAAACAGATAAAAGGTGAAGGCACTGCAATTAAGAGAGGTTATGTAAGGCTTTCAGTAGAAGGTGGAGTTTCTGTTGGGACTTGATGGCAGCCAGGGGGGTCAATAGTCTGAGGGGAGAAGAGAGAACATTCCAGGCTTGGGGAGCAGCCAGACAGAATGCCCAGAGCTGAGACATGACCATTTTGTTGGTGGGACATCCAGGAGGCTATGTCACTGCACTGAAGAGTATGTGTTGGGGAGAAGGATGTAAGATCAGAGTGGTAGAAGGAGTCTGGGTTATTGAAGGCTTTGAATTCAGAACAGGGCATTTTGAATTTGTTCTCTGAGGTAATAGGTAGGCATTAGTGTTTATTAAGTAGCAGAAGGACATGATCATACTTGGACTTTAGGAAAATCCCATTAATGACTGGATGAGAATGGATTGGAGTGGGGAGAGAATTGAGGCAGGCAGAACCACCAGCAGGCTATTGAAGAAATCAAGGCATGAGGCAAGGAGGGACTGTGCTAGAGTGGTGGTCCTGTGACAGGAAAGAAGGGGCTTATAAGAGAGATGTGTCAAAGGTGAAATTGAGAGGCCTTGCAAACAGATTGGGTGTGGGGGATGAGAGATAGTGAGGAATCCAGGATGACTGCTAGGTTGTGAGGCTAAGGGGCTGGGAGGGTGGTGGTGTCCTCTACAGTGATAGTGAAGGTAGGACATGGGGAGCACAGAGGGGGAAAGAGGAGTCCTGTTTTGGACATATTGAGTTTAAGAAATCTACTGGACGCCTAGATTGAGATGTCTGGAAGGCAGTTGGAATTCTTACATTGGAGGTCAGCAGACAGAATGGGGTAGAAAAAGTAGACTTCAGAATCATCAACAGAGAGACAGCAATTAAATCCCTGGGAGTTGATGAGATAACCAAGTGAAATCCTATAGAGGGAGAAGAGAACGGCCCTGGGGACAGAAGTCTGAGAGACAGCTCCAGTTAGAGGGCAGGGTCTGGATGAGGATGCAGCAAAGCAGACAGAGAAGGAACAGTCAGCTAGGTAGGAGGAACACCGGGACAGAGAGGGGTAGCCTGAAAACCTAGAGGGACCAGAATATCAAGGTGGAGAGAGTGACCAGCAATGTCAAAGGCTGCAGAGAGAACAAGGAAAAGAAGGATAAGTGACCATTAGTAACTGTGGAGAGAGGAGTGTCAATGGAATGAGGAGGTCAGAAGCCAGACTGTAAGGGGTTAATAAGAAAGGGTGAGGAGAGAAGGAGGCACCTGTTGTACAAGGCCTTTTGGAGGAGTTGAGCTACAAAGGGCAGGAGAGATATAAAGAGTTAGGCACTAAATTATCCCCATCTTACAGATGAGGAAACTGAGGCAGGCAGATTCAATGCCTTGCCCAGGTTACCCAGCTAGTAAGTGTCTGAGATCAGGTTCAAACTCAGATCTTCCTGACTCTGGGACCAGAGCTCTCCCACTGCACCACCTAGTGGCCTCATGAACAAAGGCATGTTAGCTGAGAAGAGCTAGTGTCTTCAGGACACCAGTGTCCAGTCTAGCCAGAGCCCAGAGTCCTAGGAGTGGAGTCAAGTGCAATGGATGGGAAGGGTAGGATGGCACCAGATTGTAGAGGGCTTTGAATGCCAGGAGGAGTAGCCTGAGCTTCACCCTGAAGGAAGTAGAAAACCATTAAAGACTTGTGAAGAGAGGAGT